TAGTTGGGATACGGAAGTCAGAGCTCACTCAGTGCAGGCAAAACGACTTGTCAGGTAAGGATCACATTTACGTTTTATGTTGACATTTCGTGGATTTTGAATAGAATACATAACATGGATACATACTCTGATTAATAATGAATTTTTAGAAATATTTTTGTGCAGTATTTTTTGTAGAGGATCGGGAAATTGATCACGGTCAAGCTATGATATACTGATGTGAAGTCTTATAACATCAACGGTCAATGTCATTTCGCCCCATGAATTTTAACAGTTTATGTACTCATTTTTTTTATAATTTTCCAATGACAACAACTCTTTATTATTTTCTTAGGTGGCTATTGAATCGATTATGGGATTTTGCTGTGTCCCGGGGTGTACAAACAAGTCAAAACCTCGAAAGGGAAAACTTGTGGTGACAATGTTTCATTTTATACGATTCCCAGGAAACCCATTGCAAGGTACAAGGCATTTCTTTATGCTATACAGAGAGAAGACAAGTGGAGGCCTTCTCAGCATTCTCGTATTTGTAGCAAACATTTTGAGAAAGGGAAGAAACTTTACATTCCGGAATCAAAGCCATGTTCCAACATTGGAACTGCCAAAGAAATCATTTCAGATTGCTAGACGTAAAATTGTTTACAGGGTAAAGATAGTAAGTAGTACATTTATGTTCCTGTTTTACTATTTTGACAGCTTTTTTGACAGCTTCTGTTCATGACACTGACAGGTATTTACCAGATTTTTTATTTTACATATTAACAAATCTTGACCATTTTGATGTCAACCTGAACAATGATTTCACAGCTTGTCCTATTATTTCTATAGTAGTGCACATGAACCCATGACAACGCACTTTCCATGTACAGACAGCAAATGTGGCCCAAAGCAGTGCTGGTCAGTTATAGTAGTTATTACACGTTTTCTCTCTAACTAAATATTTTCTGCAAATATGACAATGGAGAGACTATATTTGACCAGATATGAAATGCACAAAAACAGAAGCTGTTTTTTTTTTCTTTCTGTTATATTTTTTAATCTTTCTTAGTACAATGTTGAGCCATGAATGAAAACATTATATTTAACATTTGTTTTAGGAAAAACAAAACAGTTGATTGTTGGCGATGTTCGCAGCTAGCAGAACCTGATCTTCATTCTTTCAAAGATGAAGAGCCTAGAGTTCACATTTCAGAACAGGTAATAACATTTTTACATCAAGGTATACAAAGTGAAAATGTAGACATAATAGAACTTCTACTGGCTTTCAACAAGCTTTCAAGTGACCCCCTCCCCTTTGTGTGCAATATTTTGGCAGATCTTCATAGATTTACTACAAGTGTCAATGAATAAATAATTCAACTGTATTTTACTTTATAGACACCTCAGAGTTTAACTGTGGACACAGGAACCCAGTATGATGTCTCTGATATACCTGTCAGCACTGCACCACCAACTGAATATCACTACTGTTTTCCTGTTACTAAACCTGCAGAATATATGGACATTGAGTTTTTGAGATCATACAAAAAATCTTTAGTGTAGAAGCTTAAAAAGCAGACTGATGAACTAACTTTTTTGAAAGCTAAAATTGCAAATCTGACAGCAGAGGTAGAGTCATATCGCAGTAAGGAATTTACCCTTGATAGTATTAAAGATGATGACAAAGCTAGAACGTTGTACTTCAATTTTCATTAAAAAATTAACAATTGGCACTGTCTTATGGGATATACCATTAACTTGTTCTGATAGAGTAAAGGAATAATAGCTTGTCAATCTAGTTGGTCTGAATAAAAATTCTTGTAATAATTCATTAAAAAATGGTTGTCTAAATAATAGTTATTATGGTAATAATAGAGGCTTTACTTTTTGGTTGTGGATTTTTTGAGGCATGACAACAGGTCTGTGTTACCACCAATGTTTTTTATTCACAAGCGTGTAAAAGTAAATGATGCACTTATATTGATGATATGTAAATAATTCTATTCAGAATATCAATGTAAAATAATAAACTTAAATGACAATGTAAATAAGTCTGTTTTAATATGTCACCATCAGAAAAGAAATGTATGAAAGTAAATGAAATATACAAATCGCTCAAAAATAAATATTTTTTTAAAAAAGTGGTGTAAATAATAATGTAAATTTTGTTTTGATATGACATTGAAAGACAATTCTACATACAAAAGAAAAATTCCCAGCCATCTTCCTTTCCCTCAAGTGAAAAATGAGAACAAATTTATTAAATCAGCAGCTGATGGCATAATACTGTACATTACATGTTTCGACTGCAAACACTTCCTTGCCAATATAATTAATTTTACAGTAGACTTACTTTCTATATGGCTCCCAACCCCCATGGCGGTATAGTTTTATCCCCCTTTTCACACGACTGGTTAATATTTCTGGAAGGAAAGCCCTAAAATAGAAATGGTCTCTTTAACATGACTACACCATTGCTGAGATTCAGAAAAGAGTTCTTTTCTTTGGCGAGGTATGTACGACCTAGAAAATATGCCGTATGCGAGTACCACATTTGCGAGTCGCAAGTAGCAAAATATGCCATATGCGAGTGGTAAAAAACGGCATATGCGAGTGGTAAAATGAGTCATTTGTGAGTGGTAAACGTTATCCTTTAAAATGCAAACGGGACCTCAGTACTACAGGAATGTCAGTTTGCTTGTGTATAATAACGTATGTCCAAATGCGTTTTATCATAGTATTAAGACAGAACCCCACACCCTTCCCATGGCTTTCATTGCG